GGGCCTCCCTGGCCTGTGTCTGATCCCCGTCCTGGAGGCAGTGGAGTAGAGAGCCGGGTCACTTGTTCCTCCTGTTATCTCACAGCCCTGCTGTTCCATGGATTGTTTGACTCCGGAGCGAAGTATCCAAGGGACTGACAGGGGACAGGTGTTTCCCATGCCCATCTTGGAGCTGAGGGAGACTCACAGTGTGGGGATTCTCCTGTCTGCCTGTACCATGGCCCTGTCCTCTGTGGCTCACTTTTTTAAAAGGCAAAAGGACTCCCTGGGGAACTGTGGGAATCCCCAGTTCTAGGAGGTGCCACCACCCTGGCTGTCCTGTGGTGGCAAATTCCCTCAGGTGGGCATGGTTCTAGAAGTTCGCAGAATAGCTCAGTAGTGTTGGCCGAAACTGGGATGCGCATTTGGATTACCTGGGAGAACTTTGCAATCCCCACAACCTCCTTGGTGCCCAATCCCTCACCTCAGGAGGTGTGGTAAGAGTGAGGCTTCCGTTCAACTCTCCAGGTTCCATGGAACCATGCTCTAGCTGTATGTGGTCAGCCTTCTCTGTTCAGGGGTGTGCTGGACACCTGGAAAAGTTGTTTACAGTGTTGCCAAATGGCAGGTAAAAAGTGGTTCCTGGTTGCCTGTTTCTACTGAAAAATGCATAGGCAAAGTGAAATTTGCTTTTTGGCCCAAATTCCATTTGGTCAGGGGCTAAAGGCAAGCGAGCAGCCCCTCCATCTCATCAGGTGACCCCAGGCCTCCTGCTTGACTTCTAGGGACCATGCTGGAGGGAATGAGAAGCTGGTGAAGATGCAGCCTGGACTGAAGGTTTACGGAGGTGATGACCGTATTGGGGCCTTGACGCACAAAGTCACACACCTTTCCACACTGCAGGTACAGAGTGAGCCCCGGGGAGAGCTCTCGGGAGGCCCTGCCAAGACGATAGGCCCTCAGGCATCATTTGGAAAGGGGGCTGATGAGGCAAGGGCTCCCTAGGCGTGTCTCAGCGTTGCTTGAACAGACCTCTGTTTATGAGCATAGTGAAGTCAGGCGGTGGTGGTGCACGCCTTTAATCCCAGCAGTCAAAAGGCAGAGGCAGGCAGATCTCTGTGAGTTCGAGGCTAGCCTGGTCTACAGAGTGAGTTCCAGGACAGCCAGAGCTACACAGAGAAACCCTGTCCCAAAAAAACAGACAAACAAACAAAAAAGCAAGAGCATAATGAGAAAATCAACTGCAAAGTGTGACTGGACATCGGGAAGACCACAGAGTGGGTCTCTGAGTCGACTGGAGTCAGTAAGGCCTCTGGGATCCTTTGGATTTCTTGGATGTGACAGTGGAGTTGTGTGGAGATACCCGCCTTTGTTAGGACATTTGGGGAAACTGGCCAGAATGTGAGCAGCGTGAGCAGAGAGAGGCTGCAGATGTGCAAAGAGTGTCGGCCTTGCTGACTGTGTCTGAGGGATGTCTGCATTACTGGGTCAGCTTTAGGTTTGAACACTTGATGTAAAGAGCTGGGAAGGTGGTCAGAAAAGAAGTATCTGTTCTGGGGCAATGCCTGGTTTAGATTTGGCTCAGTTCTGCAGGCAAAAACAAAATTAGCCTTTTTGGGTTTTATCCTTGAACAGACACATCTGACCTGAGCCCCACCTTAGCGGAGATCCTTTGGCCCCTCCCTGTCCATATCCTGGGATGCTCTGCCGGTGTCTAGAATGTCTGGACTAAGCGTATTCAGGATCAGGAAGGGGCGTCACAGCAGCGCTGCCACTTGTGACGTTCTGGAAAGGCTACTGCTGGTCGAGGCTCATCCCGGCACCTCTGTTTCAGGTGGGGTCTCTCACTGTCAAATGCCTGTCAACACCCTGCCATACTTCGGGACACATCTGTTACTTCGTGAGCAAGCCAGGCAGCTCAGAGCCCTCTGCTGTGTTCACAGGTGAGTCGGAGAGGGTGGGGGTGGGGTGGGGGTTCATGTGAAGACTCTCTTTGGCACTGGCTCCTGTGAGAGAAGCAGAGGCTGCACCTTCTCCAGCCCCCCATCGCATAGAGGGAAGCCACAGCCCCCAGGATGGAGCCTGGGGTTTGCTCAAATACAGAGTGCAGGGGTGCTCTGTGGGTTGAGTCTGGGCGGCTGCTGTGTACCTGGCTGCTGCACCAGGTGTTTGAGGGAGATGGCCTCCATTGCAAGGTTCACCACCCGGCAACCTCGACCCTCATCCTCTAGCAGCCAACAAAGGGACATGGGTTGGAGTGGGGCTGGCTGAGGAAGGCCCCAGGGGTTCCAAGTATCCTTCCTGCAGCCTTGTAGAGAGCCCTGTGATCTGGGTTAGGCCAGCACAAGGCAGCCTCAGTCCTGGCCTGGGTGACATGCACCCAGGGACCCTGCAGAGCCAGAAGCCTGGCTCAGAAGTGGGTGGTCCACATGCTGGGGCCTTGTGTGCAGTTCACACTCAGTGCAAATAGGTGTTGTCCAGAAATCAGAGGAGTTTTCCCCTTGTGAAGTAAAACACAAAACCATGCAGGTGCTGATTGGGAGCCTGGGAAGCAGAACAGCCTTCCGACAACGGCACTCAAATGGTCTGCGTGGACTGGGGGCTGGGAAAAGAGTGTGCCGCAGAGGGCCGGCTCCTGCCTCTCAGAGTTGTGATGTCGTGTGTGAGGATGTGCTGCTGTCCCGTGACAGCCTCTGGGGGTTCAGAGCCTGGCTGGGGGACATGCCGGCATGTCCTAATGAGGTCACAGCACACTTTCAGATGGGAGAAACCCTGGAGCAATAAATACTGAGAGGGAATTGGGTGAAGACTTGGAGCTCTGTTCTGTAAACATGAAATTGCCCAGGAATCTGAACTTGTTTTTAAACATGCTGGTGGGGGGTGGGGCGAGGAGGGGTGGGATTCCTTGTTTTGTTTCCAGACGGGGTCTCTGTTGCCCAGGCTGGTCTGGAACTTGTGGCAGTCCTCCTGCTTGAGCCTCCTGAGTGTGGGGATACAGGTGTGAACCAGCACACCTGACCTATCTCCTCAGCCCCATTCTATCTGATGGTGCTGTGGATAGAACCCAAGGCCTTGTGTATGTTAGGCAGATGCCATACCACTGAGCCCAGCTGAGGCTGGGGCTCTGACTCTGGCCTGGGAGGTAGAAGGTACCAAGTGTCATGGATGTAGACCCCACAATGTCCTGCACTTTCTGTGACTGTTGGTGGGCAGCACCTGGCATGTTGGGTGAGGTCTCTTCAGTCATTTTATGGCTGCACACTATGCTCTGGGACAAGGGAGAGATCTGGCATCAGCAGTGAGGCCCAGTGATGAAAATGGACTGTTGGGAGCTCAGGAAATTTGAGGTAGCTGCCACTCCAGCTGATCTGAGGGGGACAGGAGGAGGGAGGGGAGGCGGGGATGGCTGAGAGGGTGTGGTGGGAGGGCCAGGCATCTTCTGCAGCTGTGGTGTGGGATAAGGCCTGTTTAGGCTGAGATAGGCAGGCTGGGCGCTGAGACAGCGGGCGGCAGTGCTGGGCACAGACTGGGCAGAAAGTGCTCAGGATCTCAGGTTTGGGATCCCTCCTCATGGCAGTCGGGGAGGCCCAGGAGCAGAGCCAGGTACCCTGGGAAGGGGCAGCCAAGGTGTACAGTCGCACCATGAGTAGAAAATGGCCACAGCAGAAAATCCAGGGTGCGTAGGGAACAGAAGTGGCCAGGTTGTCCTACTGATGCTCGGGTGAGGCCAAGATCAGTGCTAGTCTGGGGACCAGGGAGGGGTGCCTCAGGCATCCCAGCAACAAAGGGAAAGAGTATCCGGAACATGGATGCCAGGAGAAAGGGGACATCCCGAGATTCCAGAAGGGCCCAGGAGGGCTGCTAAGAGGTGGGAAGTGAACTACGTTTGTGATGATTTCAGCTATGGTGGGACTAGGGCCCTGAGAGCGGGCCAGGGTGCCTTGGGTTTCAGGTCCAAACAGTGAGTTAATGGCTGTGGTTGAACCTGGAGGCTGGCCGAACGGAGAGCTGTGGATGGCCTTGTGCCATGTTGGGTGAAGATGCCTAATGGTGGTGGTGGTGGTGGTGGTGGTGGTTGGCTTTGGGTTATGTTCTGGTGCCTGTTCGTAAGTTTGGGGTTAGCACCAGGTACAGAAGGCCGGGGTGTGAGCTAGCCCTGAAGGACGCCGTTGTGTTTTCCAGGGGACACATTGTTTGTTGCTGGCTGTGGGAAGTTCTATGAAGGAACTGCGGACGAGATGTACAAGGCGCTGCTGGAAGTCTTGGGTCGGCTCCCTCCAGACACAGTAGGCCATGCTTCCCTCTCCCAAAGGCCCCCATGCTCCAGGAAGCAGCTCTGTCCTAGGCTGGACCCACTCTTCAGGCCCAGGAACCGTCCCTGCTTTCACAGCTGGTCTGTATGTGGTGGACCCCTCGCTGGCCTCCCCTCTGAGCTGAGGGGGAAGCAGGCAAAGCCATCCCCTAGCAGTTTTTTGTTCTTAATCTGTGTGTGTCCCTACAGTATCCTCTAGTTGCGCTCTGTACGGGGTGCCACGTCAGGCTGAGACGTGACATGGCCCTGAACCCTCAGGGTTCCCAAGGGTGGATTAATCACTCAGAGCTCATGTCTTGGCTCTTTCTTCAGAAAGTCTACTGTGGCCATGAGTACACCATAAACAACCTCAAGTTTGCACGCCATGTGGAACCCAGCAATGCTGCCATCCAGGAGAAACTGGCCTGGGCCAAGGTGAGTGGGTCCCAGTCCTGGAGCACGTCCTCGGGGCCCGTCATGGTGCAGTGCCTTCCCGAGGGGCTGGATGCAGACACAGCACTATCTGCAGAGGAGGTGGCAGCTGGGTGTCACCCACGCAGTGCTGGTCATGCAGCAAAGTCCATCTGGAGGGCCCAGTGCGGCCTGTGGACTCTACATCTTAGCATCAGAGCTCTGGCCTCAGGGTCCAGCTGTATTCCCCACATACAAAGAGAGAGTCATTTGGACCCTCTGTGAGGAACCTGCTTCTGCAGTCACCCCGACAGTGGGGGATCTCACCTGAAGGGGCTATCTCCAGGACAGCACCCGTGAGCTACCACAGCACAGCCCAAGGCAGTGGGCTGAGGGCTGTGTTAGACTCCAGGGCTCTGCTTCCCTGTCACTCACTGTAAATGTCGTCAGTGAGAGCTGGGCATACTTGGGAGGTTCCGGTGCGGCTCCCTTCTGATGCCAAGTTTAGGAAGTGGGCTTCATTGTCTAAGTCCATCGTTGTGGTTTAAGATAAATACCTGTCCAGCATCCTTTCTAACTCAGGAAGGGATTTACAAAGTCATACTAGAAAATCGAGTATACTGTAATCCCAGCACTCGGCAGGGAGACAGGAGAATTACAAGTTTGAGGCCAGACCAGGCTACATAAACACTCTGAGTACCATACCAGCCAGGACTACGTAGTGAGACCCTGTCTCAAAAACACAAACAAAACCAAAAAATTCAACTGGGATGGTGACATATCTTAGTACTTGGGAGGCTAAGTGAGGCAAAAGAGTCAGGAGTTCAAGGCCAGTCTCAGCTACAGTGTGTGTTCTTAGCTAGCCTGGGCTACATGAGACTATCTCAAAACAACAAATTCAAATGCTCAGTCAGGTGTGGTGGCACATATCTAATCCTACTGAAGAGCTGAAGTAGAAGTGTTGCAAGTTCAAGACCTGCCTGGGCAGCATATCAAAACCATCACCACCACCCCCTATATTCATACCTGATTCTTAGAATAGGCATTTAATATTCACATAAAGACCACACTGTATGCACACTGTCCATACCATAATACCACTCTGCAACTTATTTTGTTTCCTTATTTCCTCTGGGGATCAAAACTGGGGATCAAACCCAGAGCCTCACAATGCCAGACAAACTGAACTTTTAAGGGTAATTTGCATGCATGAGAATGCCCTGAATGAAATCTGTAGTTAGATGAACTTTGACAGTGCACATCTACATAATCCCTGCCCTAGTCAAGCTAGAGAACACTGCTGCTTTTCTCTGCAAGGCACTTTTTAAAGGTTCAGTTTGATTTTTTTTGTATATGAGTGTTTTACCTGCATGTGCCTATGTGTATCACATGCATGCAGTGCCCATGGAGGCCAGAAGAGGCAGACACCAGAAGCCCTGGAATCGGAGTCACAGGTGGTTATAAGTTCCCGTGTGGGTGCTGGGAACTGAACCCGGGTCCTCTGCAAGAGCAGCAGCTGCTGAGCCGTCTCCCCAGCCCCACCAGTCGCCCTTATCTAAGGCTCCTATAGCAGAATCATGATCCCCCTCAGTTCTCCCCACTCTTGCTCAGCCTCATCCTGAGGCCTGTCCCCAAAGCTGGTTTTGTTTCTGAGTACATCCTGTGTTACGTGGCTCACTGCAGGAGTTCGTCCATTGTCTGTGGGTGAACTCTCTGTGTGCTTTTCTGTGTTTTTAGGGTTATGAATAAAGGTGTTGTGAATGCTTGTGTGCATCCTTTTGTTCATGCTTTTTTTCTTTTCTGCTCTTGGGTATATGTTTAAAAGTGGAATTGCTGAATTGCATAGCCAAATGTTATGTTTAACTCATAAACTGATTTTCAAAACTTGAAAATTTGACCCTCCTGTTTTAAGTTCCCCTGTGAACCCTTGTAGTTCCTGACACTTTGCATGCTGGCCAACCGTCAGTGCTACTGGTCCCTTTCATAACCCTGGGCTGTGTGTGTCCTGGTGGGGAGGGAGGGAGGGAGGGAGGGAGGGTTGGTTCATGTGGTGTCTGCAGCCGCTGTTCCACTCTGTCCCTGAGGCCTCCATGATAGCCGGACAATAGTTGGGCAAGAGTTCCTGGAGACCCCCTAGCTTAGAAACTCAGGTTTCCCTCGGCTCTGTTAGCATTGTCTCTGCCGTGGGCTGTGGCACTCAGGAGCGAGGCACTCAGGCGAGGTGGTGGCCAGTGCCCTCCAGCACTCTACTGCTTGGCCATTCTCCAGGCACTTAGTGGGAGCTCGTGGCAGGGGGGTGAGCCCTGCACACTGTGCCAAGAGCCCAAGTCACTTACGGCTCCTCATGCTAGTTTTCTTGTGGGGAGGGGGCTGCCGTCTTTGCAGTGTGCTGTTGTTGTGTGGAACCTAAACCTCCCCGTATGAAGACAGGATTGCCTTTCCTTCAGAGACAGCACAGGCAGGAGCAACATACTGGTGGCGGCAGCAGTTACTCTCGGGGGCAGAGCTGGGGACATCTGCTAGTCCCGTCCGTCCGTCCGTCCCCCCCCCTCCCCCCCGTGAGCCCGCCCGTCTGCACTGCACTGCCTCTCTCGCTCTGCTTTCTAAGACAGACTTGAGTTTAAAGATCACTGCGGGATTGAAAGGTGGGACGTGTTGATCCCTGTGTGACAGTGGCGTCTTTTACAGGAGAAGTATGCCATCGGGGAGCCCACTGTGCCGTCCACCCTGGCAGAGGAGTTCACCTATAACCCCTTCATGAGAGTGAAGTAAGATGGTGTGGCGGGGCCCTCTCTTGGCCTTCCCTTCCTGTGGTAGCTCATGGCTTTATGATTTTGTCCAAGTTCACCCCAGCAAAGAGATGAACTAGGGCTAAACCAGCCTGAAGTGAATGGGCCTGACCCTCACACCCCACCTTTATTAAGTGTACCCAAGAGGCAGGCTTTGTTCCATAAATGTGAGGATACGCTTTTCTTGACATCTTGGCAAGGATGTGGGGGACCCATGACCCATGAGGGGTGGCTTTTGGAGAGCTTCTTTAAGGATCCGTGAAGCTCTGGGACTCTGGGCTGGGTGGGCGTTTGCATATTGCTGGGAAGACCTGCTTGGCCTAGGCCTGGCTGTTTTTCTGCCTGAGGATGTCCCAGGCTCTGCTTCCAGCCCGTTCTTATCTCTTGCCTATGCAGGGAGAAGTCTGTGCAGCAGCATGCTGGTGAGTCGGACCCTGTGACTACCATGAGGGCCATCCGCAGAGAGAAGGACCAGTTCAAGGTGCCCCGGGACTGAGGCACCCAGGGACGGGGACTTTTAAGAGACTGTCCTGCTGCCCGTGCAGGATCTAGTCTGCTTTTATTGTAAGTTAATCCAGGGCCCCTAGCTTGTGTTATCAATGTTCTAATGCATATTTATAAGAGAAAAGGTTAAAGGTATTTATTCCCATAACCCTGCTTATGGACTGACTCTACATTGTCTCTGTGGTCACCTGACATCAGTTTGCACCTAGCTTCTTAGAGTGGGCTGAGGCTGGGCATTCCACCCTGGCTTCTTGCCTCTTCAGGGAGAAAGTGAGCCTGCACTCTCCTTGGCTTTGCCTCCCTCCTCCTCTAGCCTCTGTGGCCCATCCAGTCCCCAGGCTCTGGATGCTCAGGTCACATTGCAGTTAAAGTAGTGTAGGTCTGAGTGGAGAGAGCAGACACAGATGCCCAATGACACCGAGGTCCCTGAGACAGGTGGAGGAAGAATTTGAGACTGGGGTGCCTGGTCTAAACCCCCAGAGGACGGTTGATCTGTGCTGAGTGAGGTCAGCGTCCTTCAAGCCTGTCACAGCATGTGTATCCTGCTGTTGGCATTGCTGGCCGAGCCCCCAGGTTCTAGTTCACCCTACCCTTGGCTCTGCTGGGGCCTGTTTCCTTCAGCTGCCTGGAACTTTATCCTGCTGTGGATCAGGACACAGGTGTTCCAACCTGAATCCCTGTCACACAGTTCCTCTATAGAGACATGTGGGGTGGAGCTATTAATTCTGCCAGTGCTTTCTCCCCGGAGGTGGCATGGAATGGAACTTGCAGATTGTCCCCCATGGTGGTGCATGCGATAAGTATTAAACCATGTGTGCTTGGCCAATCCTGCCATAGCTCTAATAGGCACCATGGTTCCCACCAGCCTCCAAATAAATGCGGTGTCCCTCTGTGAGCCTCAGTGTGCAGAGATCTCAGAGCCCAGATGTCTTCTCCACAATGTGTATGCGACCATGCTGCTGTGCCATGCCCAGTGTGTTTAAACGTTCTGCACCACCCAGCACCATGTGGCCAGCCCGGGGGACATTTGGCATGCCCGCTCTGAAACATCAAGTCCTGAATAAGATGGTTTGCATGTCCAGCTTCTGTCCCTCTCTGCCCACCCCAGCCACTCACTCTGGTGACCTGGGCACCTGACCTGAGGGGTAACAGACACTGAGATCTGGCAGGGAGTTGATCGACACAAGCCTTACTGTCCAGGGACGAGGAAGAGAGAGGAAATGTGCGGCATGTGCTCACTAAGACCTTGTAGATCTGCGGCCGGGGAGGCCTCACCCAAGAGGTAGTGTGTGTGTGGAAGTGTGGGGAGGGGCTTACAGGAGGGAGGTAAAGCAGGCTGGAGTGAGAGGTCAGAACACATACACATCTGGGGTAGTGATGGCGGTAGGCCTGAGTTCCAGGACAGCCAAGGCTACACAGAGAAACCGTCCTGAAAAAACAAGGGGAAAAAACATATGTAAGCTGGTGGTGGCGGCACTCAGAAGGTAGAGCTGGTGTTTCTCTGAGTTTAAGGCCAGCCTGGTCTACATAAAGAGACTATCTCAAAACAAAACCAAATTACTTTTAATTGAGGTAAAAAAGTAACACAAATAGCCATTTAAACTGCAGTGGGGCCCTGACTCCATTTCCACCCCACCCCACCCCCAGTTGGTATCAGTGTTCTGTGTTCCCACCCCTCATGAGCTGAACTTGTAGTCAGTGTCTGTCCAGGGGAGAGGCAGGCTTCTGGCCTGTCCACCACTGTGGGGTGTGTCTTCAGGGCTAACAAAGGCCAGGGCAAGAGTAAAGGACTGGGCCGAGCGGTGGTGGTGCACACCTTTAATCCCAGCACTCGGAGGCAGAGGCAAACAGATTGCTGTGAGTTCGAGGCCAGCCTGGTCTACAGAGTGAGTTTCAAGACAGGCTCCAAAGCTACACAGAGAAACCCTGTCTCGAAAAACAACAACAACAACTAAGAAAGAATAAAGAAGTGGGTGGGGCAGCAGCGGGGTGCTAGCACCTGACCTAGAGCTCAGGGCTGGCTCTGTCCACCCCTCAGTGTGAGCATCAGAGGCAGGGGAGCACCGCTGTCTCCGACTTCTAGTCTAGCTGATAGTCTAGTGTGTGGACTGGTGTGTGTGGAGGGAGACAGGGCGTCTGAGGCCCACGGAGCCCAGCCGCTGTCAGTGACCCTGGCTGCACGGGCTCTGCGGCCTTGTCCTCTGTCCCAGACGTGGTTTCCGGAGTCCCCGGGATGTAGTGAACGGGCAGAAAACAGTTCCTGCTCCAAGACTGACTCATCCACGGCAACTGGAGATGTTGGTGTTACTCACTTCTTAGATGGTGTTGACCACTTCTTAGATGTCCCTCAGCAGTCTCGGGGACAGCTCATGTCTCAGACCATATGCCAGCTCAGAGAGGCTGAAGTATACAACCAGTGAACCCCAATAAACATTTCTAAATACTGAATGAGTCAGGAAGTGAAACTGGAACATGTACTAAAGTGACACACAGTGCAGGGGGAGTGTGTGTGTGTGTGTGCGCGGGTGTCGTGCATGGCTGGGATTGAACCCAGGGTCTCAAACATAGCAAGCAAGTATTCTACCCTTGAGCTCTATCCTTAGTCCTAACAAGTTTATAGCTTTAAACACCTATTTGAGAAAGTAAAAGGTCTCAAAAATGCAGGTTTTACCTTAAGCAAGAAAACAAGTGAGGCCCAAAGGATCAGAGGAGAAGCTGGAGCACTTCCTGAGCACATTCAATGCCCCGTCCATCCCCAGAGTGAGTCAGACATTAAAGTCGACAAGATGGCTCACACCTGTAACCTCATTTAAAAGGCTGCCACAGGCTGGGCGGTGGTGGCGCACACTCGGACGCAGAGCCAGGTGGATCTCTTGAGTTCAAGGCCAGCCTGGTCTACAGATCGAGATCCAGGACAGGCACCAAAACTACATAGAGAAACCCTGTCTCAAAAAAAAAAAAAAAAAAAAAGGCTGCCACAGAAGCGTTGTCTGGGTTTGAGGCCAGCCTGGGGTACAGAGCAAATTCAAGGACAGACTGAGCTACAGAGTGAGACTTGCCTCAAAAGTTCACCTACCCCTCAAAAAGAGTGGAGATTGGTAAAACAGAAAATCAAAAGTGCTTTGAAGAGAAACCAAACATTCTTACACTGATCAAAATTAAAGATTTTTAAATTTTTAATTTAAAATTTTTAAAAATTATAAAAATCATCAAGGAGGAAATTACTCTTGCTTCTATGGAAGTTATCAGGGTTTATGAAGTGGTTCTAGGAGAAAACTAAAATGAAATGGACAAATCCCTAAACTTATGTCTATAAGTCACCTCAACTGGCCAAGAAATAATTAGCTGGGGTGCCTATCAGCTACTTGGGAGGCTGTGAATTGTTTGAGGCCATCTTGGGCAACATAGCCAGACGTGTGTGTGTGGGGGGGGGGGGGTAGGCTTGTTTCATTGACACTGGGTCTCTAGCTGAGACTGGTCTCAAACTCAGGATCCTCCTGCATCAGCCTGAGAGGGAGAGTGGGGCGGTTTCTCAGAAGATTGGGAATAAGTCCTCCTCAAGCTATACCACTCTTGGGCATATACCCAAGGAATGCTCAATCTTACCACAAGGACACATGCTCAACGATGTTCATAGCAGCATTATGCGTAATAGCCAGAACCTGGAAACAACCTAGATGCCCCTCAACTGAAGAATGGATAAAGAAAATGTGGCACATATACACAATGGAGGACTGACTACTCAGCAGTAAAAAACAATGATATCATGAGGTTTGTAGGCAAATGGATGGAACTAGAAAATATCATCTTGAGTGAGGTGACCCAGACTCAGAAGGACAAACATAGTATGTACTCACTCATAAGTGGATATAGATATGAGGGAAGGGATGGCCAGACTGCAACCCACAACTCCAGAGAGACTAGCAAACAGGGGAAGACCCTAGGAGGGACACATGGATGACCCTGCGAAGGAGAAGTGGATGAGATCTACATGAGTGGACTGGGTGTGGGGGTGGCGGAGGGCAAGGAGTGGGGGATGAGAACATAGGGAAATGGGAGGGTCGAGCTGGAACAGGGACAGAGTGGGAGGGCAGGGAAGGAGATACCATGATAGATGAGAACATCACAGGAATAGGAAGAGTCAGGGTGCTGGGGAGGCTCTCAAGAATCCACAAGGATGACACCACCTTGGTCTGCTGGCAGTGGTCCAGAGGGTGCCTGGACCAGTCTACTCTGGTGGCCAGTCTAGTGAATACCCTAACTGTCATCATAGAGTCTTTGTCCAGTGACTGATGGAGGCAGATGCAGAGATCCATGGCCAGGCACCAGGCTAAGCTCCGGGAATCCAATAGATGAGAGAAAGGAGGGATTCTGCAGGCGCGGGACATTGAGATCATGATGTGAGGACATGCAGAGATGACCAGCCACACTGGTGGAAACCCATGAACTGTAGAATAGTGGCTGCGGAGCCCCCATGGGACTGGACTAGGCCCTGTGGATATGTAAGACAGTTGTGTGTCTTAAACTGTTTGGATGGTACCCAGGCAGGGGTATCGGGATCTGTCCCTGGTGCATGGGCCGGCTTTTGGGAATCCAGTGCCTGTGGTGTGACGCCTTGCCCAGCCTTGGTGCAGTGGGAAGGGGCTTGGACCTGCCTAGGCTCTGCTGACTCTTCATGGGAGACCTTGATTTGGGGGATGTGGGGATGTGGGGTGGCTAGGGAGGGAGGGCTGGGGGGTGGGAGGAGGAAGGAGGTTGAATCTGTGGGTGGTATGTAGAGTGAGTAGAAAATTTCTTAATAAAGAAAAATGAAAAAAGTGCAGCCCCAGCAAGATCCTAGCATATGTTTGAGAAAATAACAAGCAAGTTTTAAAATTATACAGTGATTCAAAGAAGCCAGAACAACTGTGAAAAAGAGCAAGGCTTTGGGACCTCAGACTACCTGAAATAGCAAGCCACAACAACGACAGGGTGATGCAAGGGCAAGGCTGGGCACCAGGCGGCTACGCCGTTATGCTTGTGGCCATTTGATCTTTGCTGGGTGCCAAGAACAGTCTTCTCAACGGACGGGCTGGGAGACTCGGGCTTTCGCAGGGGAAATATCAATGAGCTCATCTAACATGTGTAAATTAACTCAGATTGCATCAG